AAATTATCAAAATATAAATTGCAAAGTTATAAAATTGACATATTATTATACGAAATATAGTATTATAAATTATGAATGTTAAATTACAATTTCAATTTCTTCATTTTCTCTTTGCGAGTAGAATATTAAAAAAATACATACATTTATATACGTGTAATAAATAAATAAATATAATAAATTCTTTATTTTATAAGTACGACACAGAAAATATGCTGGTACAATCCGTACTTTGTGAATCCACTGAGAGAATTATCGGATAATACGGTTTTTCATCTTACACATAATTACTTGGTTTTACGTGCGGCATTATTGTGCTTGTGCGGTAAAATAAAACATGTAAAGTATGGAAAAAAATTGTAATATGAAGCTGCGAGACCGACGTGGATGAAGTTTGTAACGGCGGAGAAAAGTTGTCCTTAATTATGAAATGGGATAAATTTTGTATTTGGCTTTTTTCTCGAATTGAGTTTAAGATTAATTATGAGATAAGGTGAAACGAATGCTAAACTTGCATTTTACATTAAAGATGTAAAAGTTGGAGCAAGCAAAAAATTGATGGGAAAAAAAGAAGAACTCGTAGATTGCAAAACACGATCATATCTCAATTATCGTGAGCACGTAGATAACGATGATTTTAAAGAGCAAATAAAAAAACTAAAAGGTAAATCCTTTGTTATCGATTTCCTCTCGCTCGAAGTTGACTTACCTTAAAAGCTCGCTAAAAGCTTCTCTATACATCTCGTTCGGATTAGGGTGAGGGAAATTCATACGGGCAGTTTATTTTAAAAGTACTATATTTATTTATAATCCGTCTCGCGTGTGTCTTCTTAATAGTAGTGTGTAGAGAGTTTATATACAAATGTGTATACTCTGTACATTCTGTTCTACACGTTAAACGTTAACACGTTGATCTGTACACAAATTTCGGGTACTCGATTAAACCTTGACTTGTTCCAAAACTGCACTTATGCCTCGATCGTTAATTAAGTGCGATTCTTCACACGCTCTCGATCGATTCAATTTAATTGACTAATTTAATTAGCGATCTGGTCGTGGGTACAAAAGTCTGCGCGCGCACGGTCGTATTTACTTATTTATTTTTTTTTTGCTTCCTTTTGGTATGTGTACACATTCTACCGTAACGGCAGTAGCAAATGCCGAAATAGCACGAAGGGATACGTGGAGACAAATCATATTCGTTAATAAAGTATACGGATATTGTCGTAACACTGTTGCGCCGGATATGTACGATTATACGTATGTACAAGTCACTCGTGTTTTCTTGTTGTGCTATAAAATTCGATCTTTTCCTCCCTCCGTTCAAAGAGGGATTTTAGTTTGTTTCAGATCAAATTAGGTACGTCGTAATACACACAAATATGTACAGTTATTTCTATACTTTCTTCGTTAAATAGTAATAACATTAGTAACAATAACAATACATACTATTTTCTAAATTAAAAAAAATAAATATAAATTAAATGATTATCAACAGAGACACGAACTTTTTTTTATTCAACATTACAAAATAAATAATTTTTTATAATAATTTAATCATTTAATTATTTATTAATAATTCACATAAAAAAATTAACTAAAAATAGTCGGTAAAAGTCTAGAAAAAATTAAGTTAATATAATACTAAATTTTTTAAAAATTATATAACTGGAAAGTATTTAAATATAAATAATGAGGTTATTTTATAAAAAAAATGAGAATAATAATAGACATATCAGATGAATAAGCAATAAGGGCAGTAGAAAGTAGGGAACGTTATAATCGATCCATATTGAATGAAGCAGTAATAAGTTGTATTTTCATGAATTAACAAAAACAATTTTTATTATAGAAAATAATATTTTTACAGATTTAAAGAAAAATAGGAAAAATTTGAGAAAGTACTGAATGTAAAATCCACTTACTTTATCACGTGAATTTAAAACGTCATGTCAAAATGAATTATGTTCTATGCTTTATAAATAAATAAAAACTTATTATTATTCATTTATACCATACACTATTCAGCTCAACAGCTAAATTGTAAATTAGTAGACAGAGAGAAGCGGCATATATAATATAACGTTGCTTTCAACATTTACAAGGAATTAACCATATACAAGAATTAATTGCAGACAGTCCAGTTGGAAAGCCATTGGGTGCTTTAAACTGGTTCGCGCATAGAGCTTATAAAAGACACAGCGGAAACTGTGCAGCCGTCATGTGCATATACTCGTGCTATCATGCTTGGGTGGTTATCAGACCGCGTGTGATTTCAGACGTCCCCAGCGGCTACTCGTAAAATAGACGCAAGGCCGCCGCGTTTGTCCGATATTCGACTTCCCGGGGACGTCGATGAAAATAAGTAATCGCACTCGTGGACCGTGAACAGCTGCGCGTGTCAGCCGATCGGAGATGTACAAATTTGATATGATCGGGCGCGTTGCGTGTGTGCGTAAATTAGTAAAACGTATACGAACATACATACGTGAAATTAATGTGTATGCGTGCGCGCGTGTGTATTACGAACTATAAATGCATTTCTTGAACTACCTGCTGACCCGAGCGCGCGCAGACTCGCACGTTTCCGTAGAAATCCACCGCATGTAAAAATAGTTTGCCTAATATTATCGTCGTGCGCGCCTCTCTATCGTCTACACGTGTCGTCGTCGCGATCTCCTCTCGACGCCGATCGATGCCAGTCGCATTCCGTGGATGTATCGTTAAACGATACCGAAAGGAAGTGAGACCCCCTCCCCCCGCCCATCCCTTTCGAGAATTCACATTTCTATCTAGCGTCGCATATTTCAGTCGGCACATGTAGGATTAAATGCGGAACGTGAACACATGCCCAAAGTCGTTAGAACATCGCGTTTCGCCGTTTCCACGTTAATCCCGGTTTGATCCATATGCCGCGATGGATTCGTAGAAAGAATTATCGGAAAGCGCGGTCTCTTCCGGCACGCTGCACGCAACGCAAACGTTGCTAAAGAATTAAGAAGTATCGTTTCGCGAAGCATAGACCCGCAGTCAGATTACGTGACGGCGAATACATTGGATGTCGGGGAAAACGCGATGTTCTATGAATTCAGTGGCTTTATCAAGCGTTCGCTTTGAATTTCTTCCTCGCGAGCTTGCAGCGATAATTCACAAGGGCGAGAGGATGCCCAGTTGAAAATAATTAGTCGTTTTCTAACGCACGTGAAGGGGGGGGGGGAATCCCCCGCGAACCGCTTGATTCGAGTCCTTCTTTGCGGCTAAGCGGGAAAGATCGCAGGCCATCGTGGAGGTTTGTTTTTCTCTTCGGTTAACGAGTGATTAATAGCTCTCGATTCCCGTCTCTCTGTTCCCGGGCGGCGCTACGTGTAAGAACGAACGAAGTTCCGTTCCCGATATGTTACGTTCCATTAAGCCCGCGAGATTTCGCGGAAATCAATAATCAGTATCGATAGAGCGCGTTTTCTTATCTTAAGGCTGCCTCTATTACGAAGTTCGAGAAAATTATTCGAATATATCCAAATTTTACCGCAGCGTGATAAAATTATCCCCAGCAGAGTTTTACATTGTAATAAAAGTAACAGTAATTTGGAAAATTTGACGTGATACTTTGATTTAAATATAAAAATGAAACGAGTTTCTCCGCTGTATATAATATTTTTTCCTTGCAGGATTAATTCGACTGGTGCAACATTTCTCCGCATTGCAATTTGGAGACGTAATATTAAACCAAAGTCGTTACATCTCGGAAAGAGAAATTAAAAGAAAAAAAATATTAGAATAATCTATTAATGTAAATATGTAAATACTATTAAATGTACTTTATACTCGAGTGCAAGTTCAAAAGCAAAAGAATCCTTTCATCTTCTCCCGGAATCGACCTGTACGCGCGTTACTCTTCTTTTCTTTCTCTTTTCTCTCTCTCTCTCTCTCTCTCTCTCTTTATATATATATTGCGAATGCTTCAGGGAGACTCAATTTAATCACGCTTAAGTACTAGCCCGAAGTCTAAGCTACGGGGTCTAGACTTTTTTACGCGTCCTCTTATTCCGTCTCACGATTCGTTTATCGCGCAGGTAACGAATGAAAGGCAGCGATTGTTTATAGGACGAAAAACGCATGATTCTCGATTGCTCGGTTTCAATTGCTTCTCCGTTCCAGAAATTTATTCGCGCGATACCGCCAGACAATGCTGTCGCACTTATCTCCATCCAACTGACGCAAACCCGCGACTTTTAATTTTTTATCCTTACCTCTGCTAGTTCCAACTGTAAACGGAGACAGTTATCACTGTCTATTTGGATCGCCCATAATGTAGTAACGTGCCGCAAACACGGCTATATACATGATTGATGTACACTTCTTTATCGTTTTAACGACGATACGACCAACATCGAGCCCACGCTCGAAGAAATTCACGTTTTTTCTTTCGAGAGAAACCAACGTGGCGACTCGTGAAGTCAAAGCGTGTGTGCGCATCACTGTGTGTAGAAAAGCGCAGGATCAATGACGCGAGAATGGCGGCTGTGGTGTGATTCAAACCGTAAAACAAACACTAGAAAGATATAGAGGCTCCGATCTCTTGGTCCAGCGATTTCTCTGTCATGTCGATCGATCTGACAACGCAGCGGAGAAACCCGAGAGACGATTTAGCGCCGTCGAGAGAGCTCTGAGTGCCGACCGTTCTCTTCAAAGGTCGGCCGAATCTCCTCGTGGCTCGATTAGGCCAGGTGCGATACATGGAATCCACGTTGCATCGCTCGAAGGCACTCCAGGCGATCGACGATCGCCGCGGCGGTGGATGCGAGTGCGAGGGGCACCCGCAATGCTGCCAGGAGAGGGACGGAGTCCTGCACCTGAACACAGGCACCCTAAAACCCTCCGGTGGTCGTAAAATTGGCAGGTCGCGCAGCTTAGAGGCTGCCTTCGCTCGCCACGGTCTCGAATCGTCCGCCGTCGTCGTCCAACCGGTGCGATTTATCGAGCGCGGCGTGGGAATCGAACCGTCGTCGACTCGAGTCTCCCCGTTGACGTTGATTGAATTCAAACCAGACGCGTCACTGACCGTCGTCGATCCGTCGACGAGTTTTGTTGACTCGCCAGCGAGTTCCCCGACGTGTCTCTCTTCGGTCGAACGGATATGAGTCGGTACATCGCCGATCTCGGACCGCTGCTGGCCGATCCTCGACGACTCGCGATCACAGAAGTCACTGACCGTATGCAATTTCTCGCCCGATTTCTCGCGATCGAGCGCGTCGCGACACGTGGATCAGGAGGAGGAGTTCACCTCCACGGTGGAGCTTATCGAGGTGTCGTCGTCGAGGGAACTCTGCGTGGCGACGGTCACCTTATTGTTCCCGCTGTCGCTGCACGTCGCCGCCGAATAATTTTGACGGGGATGGCGTCTCTTGTAGGGCTCCCAATCCCCAGGACCCCGGCGTCAGTGCGTCGCGATCACGTCCGGCGCGCTTTTCGTGCTCTCTATGCTGAACGGCCGTCTCTGGTCCAACTCGATCACCGCCTCCGCCCGATACCTCGGGTCCAGCGGCGGCTGGGGCTGACGTTTCGTGGGCGTGTTGCCGGAGGAGTGCTGCGACGTGCTGGACGTGGTGTTGCTGGAGCCGTGGCCGGAACCGTAGGTGGAACTACCGTATCTCTCGCCGGAGCCTACGGTGGCCTGTCGCAAGAACTTGGGCGACTGTCGGTAGACGCCGCTAGACTCTCTGCCAGGCTTGGGACTTTGGAATCTCTGGTAGGACGGGTAGTCCAACTGTTCCGGGTACTGGGCAACTTGCGGCAGTGGATAGCTGGACTCGTGCGTGGACCAGCCGGGTGGCGCCGGTATGGGATTGTGCTTCGGACAGATGCCCATACTGCCGTCCCGCCCGCGCGACGCCGGGCTACAGCCCGAGCACTGAGAGATGATCTGCTGCTGCGAGCTCGGTTGCGACGACTGCAAGCTCGGCTGCGAGGACTGGGCGCTCTGGTGAGACTGCTGCGGGCTCTGTTGCGACTGCTGACGATGTAGGTGATGATGATGATGATGAGAGTGAAAATTGGTCCCGTTCTGAGAACTGGGGGCGCGCACGCCAAAGGTCGTGAAACCTATCGCCGGCACCATCGTATCCGATATCCGTGGCTCAAAAAGGCTTTCTCGGGTTTGGCAGCAATTGTCGCGCATCTCCGGCTCCTCGCTGGACTCCTGCAGACGTTCCTGCGTAGCGTTGCTCACGTTATTGCTCTGGTGAATGTCGGTGATGTCGCTCGCATTGTAAGTCATCTCGAGAACGAGATCCTTTGTGTACTCCTGAGGTATCATGGTGGTGGGTGGCATCAATTCTTTGCTGGGCAAGACTTCTAAACTAGGCGACTCGCTGCCATGATCATGCAGATCCGTTGTGGAAACCGAAATTGGACACGGGGTTGACTTCCGACCCAGTTCGTCCAAACGATTCTCTCTAGATTGCCTTATGTGCTCCTATAAGAAAGCAAAAAGACGGAGCATGCATAATACGAGCACAATATTTATTAATCTGCAAATTCATTAATCTGTATAATGTTTATTAGTAATCTATTTAAAACATTATTTCATTAATACTACACGTAAGAAAAAGCAATTTACAAAAATTTTACTCATAATTTTAAAGAAAGTCACATATATAGCTTACTTTATTTATTGTTTGAATAAGAAATATTTGTTTGCGCCATGAAATAAATAAAAGTATGCAAAAAATAAATTAAAACTTTGTTGATCTTAAATCATCTGTTGCATCTATTGCTGTTTTTATTTCATTCTATATGTATTTCTGGATAGCGAAAACTGATGTTTATTTTTCATACAATAAGTTATTTTAATTATAAATAAACTAAATCTTTTTTTGTGAAATATATAGAATTTTACAAAAATCTGAATGTAGAGACTAATAAATTTATAAAATTTATTATTACGTAATAATTTATTTAATGTAGATTTTAATAAAATAAAATAAATAATTTCTCTATTATTTCATTACACCTCATGAATCGCTTTATGTGCTTCATGCCCTATGCATAAATAAATATTACCAAAAATAAATTAAATTTTAACAGAAACAATAAAGTTCATTTAAATTTATAATTAACATACTACAATAAATTATTATTACATACTTTTTGACAAAAAGTATTTATAAAGCAATTTTAACAATTTATTATAAATACTTTACATTAACGAAAAAAATTACAAAATTACAAATTTATGTAATTTTGCGACAAATAATTATAGAACAATTTTCAAAAGCTTTGGAAAGCTTAAAACGTAAAGTCTTTGTTTTCAACATTATCAATCTATAAACTTTAACAGTACTTTAAGGAGCACCATTTCAAAGTCAATCATGTAAAATAATTTCAACATTTACGATAATGCACAAAAATAAACTGTTATCTTTGCTTAAGGTCTTAAAAGTTAAAAATTTTTACTTTAAAATGCTCTTTTTAAAAATAAGCTATGATTTTTTTGCTACTTATTCAAAATAATCTTTTAATTTTGGTGAAAAATACATACATTGCATGTAGGAGGAGATGGGAATCCTTCGTACACGAGGCACATACATACATTCAGTGATTCGGGAAGAATCGCGCAGATTCGGAACACGTCTATACATATTTAGTTTATCTTATTGCGCGGCCACATGCTAGCAAAATTTCATATTAGTCGGACTACGTAAACTGACAGAGCAGGATATTACGTGTTTTAACGTTGTCTGAGTAAATTTTCCAAAGTATTTAAAGTAATTTTAGATATCTTTAATTAAGGTTATAAACAAGAATAATATTTTTCTAGTAAGTAAAATGTCTTAAAATTATACTTTAATCATTAATTTTATCGTATTGTTAGTGAATTCTATAAAAAATAGCGTAATTATTTTCTTTTGAATTTGGGGTAGATTCGTACACAAGCATGAGGGCATCTTTTGTATATGTATATATTATTTTGTTACTTAATTAAAAAAAAAAATTATTTTAGTTAAACGTTTGAATTTTGATCCCGAGTTTGAACGTTGATTTAAATACTAATTTAAAGAAGTTCATTTTATTAAGTTTATTTTATGCAGAAGTTTATAAAAAATGTTTAATTACCTACTGACAAGATTGTTTTCATTTAAATTTTAATTATCAATAAATATTTAGAGTAATAATTTTAATGTTTTGTGTTTATATCCAAAGCTATTTTATGCGTACATAGGCGCCGTATTACATGTACATACGAAGCTACTCCGCCTGATGGGTAGATTCGTACAATTTTCAAGTTTTGTAAAAATCATCTGCGTTCAATTATATATTAATTTATTATTTTAATTGCATGTTTTTATTGTAGCTAAATATCTATACTATTTATTGATACAAACTTAAGTAGTGTAAAAGCATTTAACACAATTTGGGAAGCAAAACTTCCAAAAGCGCACGAAGGATTCCCATCTCTTCCAGCTTCCTATATATAAATAAACCTTCCACCGACCATGACTTGTTTACATAAATGTTTAACAACAAATGCTTAATGATATTTCATATTATTTCAATTTTGTATATTATAATACAAATGTCGCAATATTTAATAAATTACACATTACACCGTAATAATAAAGAGGAGAAATTTGGATGTTTGTAGCGATATAATTATTATTCGGGAAAACCGCTACATGCAACTGAAACATTACCTTTTTATAATTTAATTGAACAAATACAAATACGATTTTCGATAGTTTGTTATAAAATAAGTAGTTTGATATTTTATTCGAGAAGATTGAGAATGAATTGAAGGATCGAAATATTTGAGATAAATGAAGATAACGTTTATATATATAAACCAACAAAACTGAATTTTTGAACGTGAAGAAACGTAGAGATAAATACTTTTTGTCATTTCTTGAACTCATAGTGAGAAATAAAGACGCCACATCGTCAAAGCAGTGTCACGTCACCGAGAGTCTATAAATTTTGAGCGGGCACGTTGAAAAATTGCGCGATCGTAAAAAAAATGCTCTCATTGCACCTTGACGTTGTAAGAGAACGTCTATTGTCGATTTTTAATAAAACTTGCAACCAAGTTTCAATCGTAACCAACAACTTTATATAAATAATGCGGAATGTATTTACGAAGGGGAACATCCGCGTAATAACTCTTATAAAATATTTTCTGAAATGTAGCAGAAAATCTTCGCGTATTTCCGTAGAGACTTCATTTTCTGATCTCTCGTTTACTGTAACTGAAGGCATGGTAGGCGGAAGATAGAAAGAAAGAAAGAGAGAGAGAGAGAAAGAGAGAGAGAGAGAGAGACCTTGTGATTCGCGTTGGAAAAATAAAATTCACTCACCTGGATAATGCGGTGATCGCGGATGAGCTTCCGGACGCAGTTGAAGACGAAGGCAAAGCTCATGCCAAACATAATTAGAGAGAAAACAACGAGGATTATGATGATGTGGTACGAGTCGATCAACCGTGAGAGCTTCTTCTGCAAATAAGGAAATTGAACATGCCTTCAATATCGTTGCTTATATTAATTTTATGTTACAGATAAAAAAATTGCAATCATATACAAAGTAAACGTTTTCTTCAATGTTTTAAAAATTATTATTGTATATACTTCTTTGATTTTAATAAATAAAATAAAATTTTTGTTGTACTGTATATTCGCGTAAAAAATGAGTTGTCTCCATGTGTACTCTGTGTTAAAATAATTATTATATGTTAATTAAAAAAATAGCTTTGTGTGATTTTTCGATGCATCTTTTACGTCACGCGTGTTTAATTTTATTTTGACTCTACACACACATATGGAAATGGAATGGTTTTGTGCTAAAAATATATAAAAATTAAGCCAGATACAGATCTGAAACTAATTATGTTGGGCCATTAAAATAATTATGTAGGATGCTCAAGCATGATAATAATGTTACAAAAAAGTTCTGACATTCTAACCAACTTCAGCGTCCAATATAATTATTAAATAATGCTTTGATGATAATTATTTAAATGATTCATGCCATCGCAATTATTTAAATGACAATTATTTTTTATGCTCGACGTAAAGTTAATATTGCGTTTTTCATGACAGCAGCAGACATCTTACGTAAGAATATGTACAAAACCATGTAATTATTTGTCAGAATTTGACTGACCCCCCCCCCTACCGCAAATTATGCTCACGTAATATATGGATGGCCCCTAATTTTTATGTGGATACTTTAATAAAGCCGTTCTTTTCGTGTCGACACAACAAATTTATACAACTCGAGCGTTTGTAACACGCACGTTTATAACAACAGTTTTGATATTGCACTCGAAGCATCAAATATAATCGTCAATATTTCACAATCCGCAGTGCGGTTGCGCCTGAATTAAAGACTTCAAGTCACGTGAAACGTCGGGGGATGAGAGATGCATTATTCTCGTCATTTTGTTCCAGCTAGAGCTTCTCACGACGCGAACTTACAGACGCAAGCTCTTCCCGACAATATAGCGTCGCGAGGAAGGCTCGCGCTCGGATTCACCTCGCGGTGCACCCCGACATCGGTGCGTTACATCTTCCTGTCACCGTCGTTCCGCCCCGTTTTCAACATTTATCGGCTACAGAGGTGTCGCGCTAAATGCCTTCGTGAAATTTCAGGAGAGCGCGTTACACATTACGCCATAGGAAGGGGGTTCAAGCGCAAAGGAGAAACTTGCGAAACATCGCGACGCATAGAATGCATGAAGCAAGGTAGGATCGACGCGATCCATCTTCATCCCCTGTCTCTCCCGCGCTCCTGCCACCACCTCGCGTGCCGCGTCCTTTGTCTCGCAGAACGGCGACGCCGCCGCGGATTTTGCCTGTTTGCTCCTCGTTTACTTAAGTGGTTGCAGCGCGAGAGAGTAACTCGTTGAAATGCTACTCTTTATATCGCGCGTTTGTTGTAGTTTAAGCGCAAAGTGTTTGGCACTGCAAGTTTGCAATGGACAAAGTGATTTCTCTCGACAGAGAGAGGGGAAGTAATCGGTTTTAATAATCTTCTCTCGACAAGAATTCTTTTGTAGTAACATGTATATATAGAGCTCCCTCTTGAAAAGATATGCTCAACGAGATCGGTGATAGCTCGTATCTCCCCCCCCCCCCTTAGATTTGTTTTTATCAGCATTTTGTATAAAGATTCTGTGTTAATACACTTTGTTTCGTATACTTCCGAGAGTTGTATATTTGCTTCTCTCGCATTTAACCGATTCTTACGTTCTACGCGAGCATCGAACGATATACTTCTCGAGATTAAATCGCTTCGCTGACATAGCGGAGCGTTTGCCCCGCACAAAACGTTGCGAATTTGCATACTTGCGCAAGTAGTACCGTAATTAAATTATCAAGTACACTCGAGACGGCGATGAACAAGACAACTTCGGTTAGGTATAAGATGGATTAAGATCACGAACTTCGTAATCGCTCGCAGAATTCTCATGTGAACTCGATTGCCGGAAGAAGAGCACATATATCCAGCTTTTTTTTCTTAAGTAGGTATACATGTATGATGTACATCTTAATTTCTTCCCTTCTATATACTAATTAGATAATCAAGGCATAATTATTTAATTGATAAATAATGTGCTTAAAGTCACCAGAGATGAATTAATTTTGGAAATTTGACGCCGCGAAAACGTCTTTAGACTGTGTTTCAACACAGCACGGAGAAATGTCACACGTGACGCAAACTATTCATCATAGCAAGGTGTATTCGGCTAAGTTCGCGCTGACCGGGAAACTTCGTATGTGGAAAGTCCTGCGAAACGTGCATTACACGACACATTGTACACGCGAGTCACGTTATACATTCGATGCTTACACAGTAATAACTAATTCCACAGCCAGGCCAGTCTTTGCGCGCCGCCACTGACACAATGTACAACGTTTGCCCACATTATATTGCTATATACTCGCGGAGAGATCCAGCACTTGGAATGCACCGTTAAACTGTGGAGTAATTTATATCGACGTCACATGTTGTCTCCGCGCGTTCACCCGTGCTCGCCTGTACGCTGCTATAGTTCAAAGAGACGCCGGTCTCCTTTTCTTCCGCCTGCGTATATTTCTCCGTGTCCCGGTGGTCGGCGCTATAATTTCCCCGGCGTTTATCTTTCGTACCCAAGTTGAACTCGTTGCTCCGACAGCGAGAACATGTCCACCTAAATCCAGAATGCTTAACGGGACGGAAAATCAGTTCGTACGTAGAGCAGAATAAATATACGACGTAAAATTGAAAAACGTATCACTTTTGGAATACTTGCTTCCACTTTGAAAAATAACATTTATAAATTATATAATTTAATTATATATATATATATACATATATATATATATATATATATAATTATTAAGGCGATCGCGGCGCAGGGCGTTGCGTGGCAGCTTAGGGGAGACCGGGGCTCGTTGGCACAGTTTTCACAATTTAGACATTCCTGTTTCTAAACAACTATTTATTATGATTAAACTATATTAATATGATAGAATGAACCTTTCTCTACATTTTCATGCCAGGAACGATTCTGTATACTGTATAGTTTCTTTATAGTAAGTGAAATACGAATATGCTGCAATGTAGCCAATTTATCCCGATAGCTGGATAAGTTGACACATATTATAGTGTAAGTTGCTTAAGTGATAAATTCCATATTAAATTAATGAAAACATAATAGAAGTAAAAACAGATCGCAGATATGTATTTCTTAAAAAAAGATTACATATTTTAGAATTATTTTTATATTACATTTAACTTAATGTGATGTAACTAAGATTACATCACATTACATTTAACATTACATTAACTCAATGTGATGTAACTAAGATTACATCACATTACATTTAACTAAGTTACATAATATTACATTAAATTAAATTACAAATTATTTAATGTAATATGATGTAATTTAGTTACATCACTAAATTATATCATATTACATTAAATAATTTGTAATTTAATTTGATGTAACTAAGATTACATTATATTACTTATGTAATGTGATGTAATTTAATGTAATATGATGTAATCTTAGTTACATCACATTACGTATGTAACTAAATTACACATTATTTAATGTAATATGATGTAATTTAGTTACATAAGTAATGTGATGTAATCTTAGTTACATCACTAAATTACATCATATTACATTAAATAATTTGTAATTTAATTTGATGCAACTAAGATTACATCATAATACTTATGTAATGTGATGTAATTAAATGTAATATGATGTAATCTTAGTTACATCA